CAGACAATGTGATTTTCTGGATTTTTTTTTTTTCTTTCTCATTTTGTCTCTCATAGTTGAGGTATACCTAGGTTAAAAATTACAGGCCTCTCATCATTTTAAGTGGGAGAACTTGCACAATTGGTGGCTGACTAAATACTTTTTTGCCCCACTGTATATACGACAGTGCCAGAGCTAAATGTGTTAGCTGACGTCTAAAGGTGTGTTTTGCTCCGCTCACCGGTCCCTCACAGCGGGCAGAGCTGCAGGTGATGGTCTCTCTCTTTCGCGTCCGGTTATACTTCACTCGTGTTTATGTCGAAATCCATCAGATCTAGCTAATTCTAGCCAATGATATGGCTGCTGCCCCTCCCTACACGCAGATCACGCAGACTTAAACCTCATCTCTTAGGCCCAAATGTGGCGCAAATGTGTTCCGCAGCCATTTGCTTGGTTCCGGCGCTAACAGTTCATGAGCGTGCTCCACCACCCCCTGTCAACACTCGCGACACATGAGTGGCCAGCCTAAACAACAATAAGCGCTGCTTGGCAACCGTGTGGCGGCAAAGTACATACACATTTTGACTGGAGAGATTTAGTTTTGCCGGTATTCAACATATTTTACCAGTCATAGTCCGGTAATTATTTACACTCTAAGAAGAGTCCTACACAACAGACATGGCGTCAAAAAGGAGTAATGTGTGGAAATATTTCGACCAGGTTAATGAGTGCAGCGTAGAGGTCAAACTATGCCAAATTAAACTTATATATACATGCTATACCTTGCTATACCCGCAACCTCCGTTCCAGCTGAGAGGGTCTTCTCTACAGTTGGGCTGATTGTGAATCGCACATGAAAGCTGTAGGCCTATAGCTGTCAAACTGTGATCACCAGTTCAATACATTTGACCAATTCGACTTGGTTTCTACACTTATTTGAACATGTTTGTATTTATTTCCAAAAATTATTGAAAAAAATTTGGCTAAAAAAAAAAAAAATCCCAATTTTTTTTTATAGGATATGTACATTTCGGTTAACCGGTTAACCTTTTTTTGGGGGGTCGAATATTCGAATATACATTTGCTTTCAAATTCTCATCCCTAGTTGTGTCCTGGGGTTAATTTAATAATCTGGCAGCTGATATGTATCGAATGGCTGCTTCAAGTGTGTTGATTCCCCAGCTAGCTCGAGTCATTTTTACAATCTTTGTTGTTTGGTGATTTTGGGGGTGGTCTAGACAGGTTTTTAAAGTAATTGTTTGCTAATGGGTGGTCTAACAAGCAGAGATTGTAGAGAAACACACACAGTGAACTTGTGAATGTTTTGTGTACCATTTCTGGAGATGTCAAGCTCCACCAGCTGCATGAAGTTGGCCACCTCGGGAGGGAGTCTCTGGATCTCATTGTCACTGAGGCCGAGCTTCCGTAGGTTCAGTAGTCTGAAGAAAGGCTGGGGAGACATAATGACATGTCAATCAAAACAGAACTTTAAAAGAAAATGTCATTCAATCCCACCATGATGTTTTCTTTTAAAAACTGTAACTGCAGAGTTTAAAATGATATGTTAAGATAACTGACTGGTATTGGTGTTTTCAATGTCGCTTACATTTCTGTATGCCTTAACCAAACCTGAACACAAAGCATTCTGTGCATTAAAATGAGGGCCATTTCCGGGACTGGTTTTTAAAAAAAACATTCCATCGTCATATTCCCAAAACCTCCTCCTCACCATGGCAACACCAACCAAACAAAGTAGCTTTGGATGGGAGAGCTGAGAAGAGTGCTGCTGCTGTAGCCGCGCCAAGTGCTTTCACAAGAGGCTGCTTGTTGGATGGGACAGCGTTCAGAAGCATTCCTCTGCCAGCCGCGCAGTGTGTGTCTACTTGTGTGTGTGTGTATGTGTGTGTCTGTGTATCATCTGCCGTTAAGATGGACAGACAAGACAGGCCGGCGGGGAACAGCAGGAGTCACTATGCAGTGATTAACCCCTCAATCAGTCCGTGATTCCGCAGCCCACAGAGGACCCACTGTCTGCCCGTCCACTCCTCAGACACTAAGGCTCTTGAGAAATCTGCTGACTTGCACTTTCTGGAGTAGGAATTTGTATAAACTCATTAGTCAGGGATGCGTTCTGACATAGGGGGCAAAGATGTCTGCGAGCTTGGAGCCTAAACATGAATTCCAATTAAACCTGGTTAAACAACGATTGTGTGTCAAGTACGCCACAGATAAATATAATAATTTGAAAAATATCTTACCTACTCCTTCGTGACTGAGATTTTAATTTTGCAAATGTGGCACTGCTACTTTACTGTTTCCAAACTATTTTATAAATATGTGTGAAGTCAGAAAGCACAGAACATTTGATGGCTATTGTTAGCCTTGTTCTTGACAGAAGTGTGAAAACACGCATACAGTACACACAGTCCCCTCAATACAACATGCTGGGAGGCAGCTCTTCAATCATGCTGTCAAAGAGAAGAATGCTACAGCTCAGCTCCTCTCTGTTCCTCGGTGACAGACAGTTCCTGCTCTTAACTAGTCATGTGTATTGTGTTTGGATCGGGAGTGTTGTAGTTACATCATCATGGTTATTTTTTTCCCCAGCATCTGTTTGAGGTTTGCTGGAAGTGCAAGATGGAGCTTGTCAGTCAGGACTTTCCCAAAATGCCCCAGCTGGTAGTTCGTACTAGCCTCCCCACGTGACAAACATAAAGGAAGGGATAGTGGTAGAGCGAGACAGGGGGTGTTTGCTCACTGAGGAGCAGGTGACAGGTATCAGGTGACAGGAACAGGAAACAGGAGCCGGGGACAACCATGTGGCCGGGGCCGAGCCCAGATGTGAACGGCCCCCAGGAGGGGAGGCGATACAGGCAGAACAGGTGACACTCCAAGACTGTAACGGCCCGTCCACACTACAGCTTCAAAAAAAGCTTGCCGGCGGGCGTGTCTGAAGCTCGACCAACAACCAATCACATGAATCTCTCCGCCCCTGGACACACAAGCAACGGTTTGATTAGCTAGAGCTTGTACTGGCATATGATTTGATTGGCTGACGCTTCCACCGAAAGCTTCAGAAGCTTCAAAAGTTGAACATTGCTCAACTTTTGCAGCCTGAAACGCCAGGAAAGCTCCGCTCTGCTACCCACAATTCAGTTCGGCGAAAAGCGAGGCAACGTGACGTCACCCCGTTCAAAGTGAATGGGCAGACGCGTTGGAAACCGTTTTTGAAGCTGTCGAAGCTGTAGTGTGGACGGGCCGTAAGCCTCTCGGGGAAGTGTGTGTAAAAAACACACCAAACAACTCAGATAGAAGAACACACCTTATGTTAACTTCCCAGGGTGAGGCAGTACTCTAGTAACAAAGCATGACCAATTCTTAAAATCCAGCTTAACCAATAACTTGATCTTTGCATCAGTGAATTCATGTCCTCTCTTGATAGCTTCCATAGCTCTAACAGTAGTGACGGGAATGCTAATACAACCAAGCCTGAAAACAAGTCATTATGAACACTCACACAGATGGCCATTCACTACCGAGTGGCCGCTCACACACAGGCTGTTTTTCTAGCAAAACAATTGTGATGCTGTAAACAAACTGTACATGTAATACATCTGTTCTTTGGTGCAAGCGTTCAAATACTTTAAGAAAATTCAATAACTACTAATTCAATCATTGTAAAGTGAATTTGATGTTCCTGCCGCTTCCCACTGACTGATGTACGTTCAAATTAAACAATGGCGACCCAGCAGTGTCATACGGGTCAACGGGTCAGTTGGAATAACAAGCGGGAGCGTTGGGATTTAGTGTACCGCCACCGTCTTTTCATTGTATTAGTGAGCAACAACAGTCTACTCATTGACTCTGGCAGTTTGTACAGGACTGTGCGCGCGTGTGTGTAACTATTTATAGAGTGGGGTTGGTTAGAAGCGGTGTGCTACATTTCCTTTACAACTTTGTAACTGGGATGGTTTAATTAGGGTCTTGTGAGAGTTGTTTGGAAGGGAGTGAAACTTTGAACAGGAGGATGTAGTAGTGTGGAACAGAAAGGAGTGAGAGGGAAAGTAGATGAATGATAGCCATGTCAGCAGAGGGCAGTGTGGGGTCTCGAGAGCACACTGCCAACTTACAAACTAACATCAGGATACTTTATAACTGTTTGGCTCATTTTAAAGAAAGGTGATAATAAAATATTTGCGCCACAAAATGTATACTTAAAAAGGCATGCAAATACTTGCTGTTTAAAACTGAAACAAGCAAGCATCCAAACTGAAAAATCAATGGGTCTAGTTGGAGGTTTTTGTTTAGTTTTAAACAAGATTTTCTTTTTTTGAGGACAGCTTTTGCAATTACTACACCAACGAGGATGTGCTCAGTTGAATAAAAGTAAGAGTCACACCAGGCAGTTCCCTTCTAAAATGCTTTTAATTCCAGAGACAAAATAAGTGGGTATATACCATTAATGGTGGTTAAGGCAGCTATGACAACTGGACAGATTTTGTAGGACTATAAGGTTTCCCACAGGGGGGGGATTGGGTCTGCGTAACATCCACAATGTGACCAACTCAAGCTAGTGTGAAATGAGTTCTGTGGTGTGGGTACTTATTTGAGGTATCCCCCATTATTAAAAAAGTGAAGGAAGCCGTGTCACCCATGGGTAACCTATGAGACAGAGAGCTGTGTGTGTGTGTGTGTGTGTGTGTGTGTGTGTGTGTGTGTGTGTGTGTGTGTGTGTGTGTGTGTGTGTGTGTGTGTGTGTGTGTGTGTGTGTGTGTGTGTGACGATGGACACAGGGAGGCCTCGCAACAGACACTCTGCACTTCAGTGAGCGTGTGTGCAGCATCGCTAAACGCTCTGCTTTGTCTTATCTCCCTTGCTCTGCTTCCATTCCACTCAGGCAGTGTTAATGTGCCACAGGTCAGGATGTGTGTGCATGTGCGTGTGTGCATGTGCATTTTGCAGACGTCCACAGGAGAGAGGATCCTGTGCTGTAGGTCTATAAGTCAGCACACACACCAATGTTTACAGAGTCTTAGTTTTACTTTGGTTAAGGTTGCCAGGAACTCTGGCTTTCAGCAGAAGGACTCAGCATGTGTGTGTTGGGAGAGAGCGGTATGGTAACGTTCATATTTGTGTGTTCATGCGTATTAGCAGCGGTGGGTGTTTGTTTTAGAGTGTTGAAGAGACTGTAAATTCACAGGGTGGAATGTTAATGTTTTGGACCTCACAGCACTCAGAGAACCCAATTAAAATATGACCACAGATATCAAAGAAGCATGTCAGTGACACATGTGAGTAAACTGTATGTTCCCTGTATGAGTAATGTCCTACTGTATGTGCAGTGAGCCGCAGACTGAACTTGACAGAGGCTGCAGTGTTCCAGTCAAGTGACTCCAGTTAGCTTACGGTTTCCCTCCAATCATGCCCTCAGACTACAGAGAGAACGGGCTCCTACTGCCCTGCAAACACACACACACATTAAATCCGACCTCCCACTTCGGAGCACATTTAGTGTGCAGGAGACCGTACAGTCACCCCAGATTTACAAATCCATGGTTGCCCCAATTCATTAACTTAAGGCCACAGGTATCTATTCAAAAGTTATTGCTAGTGGTACTGCAGAGACAATGGTCTAATGTTGGAATTCTGTGAAACAAAACAAGAAGAACTGAACCGACTTGGTCCTGTCTCAGCTTGCCTACGGAGGCATTTGATTAATGGACCCACTCATCTCCAAATGTACTGTGAAAATGGCAAGTCGAATGACATCACCAAACATCTCTCATCTATTATTTCCATTAGCCTACTTTTTACTCCAACATGCTTCCTTCTCTCTATAAATGAAAGTCCATTTCACACATTCCCCAGCTTCTTAATTGTGTGCCAAATCTGCCCGCTGCCCTAGTCTGCATGTTCCCACTCTTCCCAATATCAATTCCCTCACAGTGCACACAAACGGCACACACACTACTGGGGTGAGGGGCTCAAAGAGAGGGGAGGGGAGAGCACATGCTTTTGTGCTGGCCTCGACTCTTTCAGTGTCCGGGGGAAATAAAAAAAAGCCAAGAGGATTTGGTTGACTGAGTAGCTTGCTCTCAAATGGCGAGCCTCATTACGGCACACTCATTTCTATAGATAGCCGCAGCCATTGTTGTGGTATAAACTCAGGACGTGAGTGAGCAGAGACACAAGGGAGCTCTGCATTGACCGTCACTTTAACTCAACTTCTTCAGTGCAGTTCTACATTTAAACGCACCAGCAAGAATTCATGCTCAGTCACCTCACGGCCGATGCTAATAGACAACATTGGTCAAATGACCCCCTCCCCCTTATGACCAAAGTTTGAGACCCAAACTTCCCCAAACGTCCACACATGAATGACACCCCAACTGGTCCTCTTCCCCTCCTTCCTCCTCCCCACTGCTCTCTCTGCTGCTCCACTTTTCTGCGTTCCCTCCATTTTCCTTGGCAGAAGGACAAAGGCCAAACAGCCAGGCCCACACATGAGTGTCAAGTCTCTGGCCAGCTCTACATTCCCCCACCCCCTGCAGCCCAGCCAGGGGATTCCTCCATTGTCCGACAGGACACCACAGAGAGGAGAGAGAGGGCTGGAATTGGAAGGATGGAGACTTGAAAGAGGAATGCTGCAAAGGATAACAAAAGGAAGGAATGACTAAGAAGGAAAGTGGGGAGAGGAGTGCAGAGAAGAAAGGGTGTGTGAAGAGAAGAGAAAGGGAGTGACGGTGGATTATTAATGAGGAATAGAGGGTAAACAATGAATTCCCACAGTGATCTGGACATTCTAAGGGGAAGGAAGACTTCACACACTGACCAACATTATCTCACTGCCCCTTTCCATTAAAGATGAATAATTTCATTTATTCATCCAAACCAAAACAACAACTGTCATTAAAAGTGGTTAGGTCTAGTCCATTGTGGTCAATTTGCAATGTGAAGTACGATACTCCCATTGGCCTCACCATTAAACCCAAACAAAGGCCAACAATGCAGCTAACCACCTACCCACGATTCTAAAAACCTACACACCATTTCCTCTGCCCTCGCCCACTGTCTCCCACACACTCAGTTGTTTGCAGCTCAGTGCATTTGTGAGAAAGAAAGAAGCAGGAACAGCTGAAGCATTAAAACACACCTGCAGTACTAAGTGCCGATTTGTCTATGCATTATATTAATTTCATTAGAACATGAGCGATGTATGCAGCACATAAGTAGCAGTGTGGGTGTCTGTCTTTGAATGGGCCGTGTAATTGAGTTTGCGTGCTATTGTAAAACACTGTGCATATAAACGCTAGTGTTTGTGTTCCACTTAAGTGGCACTTTTAGCCGTGACTTCCCTTATCCAGCTCCGGGCCCTCCAGAGGCCACACAGAGAGAAGGGCGTGGTGAAGCCGGCATGACGGACAGCATAGCTAACTCCCATCAACATACACCTGTCCTGGTGACTTTGATCTGTGTGGAGGAAACACAGCCGCAACTGAAGCCATGTGATGTCTGAGGCTGCCACGCCTAAACATTAGCAGCTTTGCACTACAGTAGCCAGATCCGGCTCTGACGAGAACACATTGTGGGCAGATCAAATTATAGCTGGTAACCACCAAAATAAAACATGTTGGTAGCTTTTCAGGATGGAAAGATTTACCTGAGGAAAATATATTGATGGTAATGAAAATATGCCAGATGACACCTTTGAAAATTCTATTACTTCAGTTGGATATCTGTGAGAGCTACATTTGAACATTTAATTCAAGCTATAGTTAATAATAGTGCATGTTTAGTCTTTGTGTTTTGCCCCACGAGGGAGAGCAGTCGTTTATGTTTACAACAGTATTAATGAACTCTAATGTTGTGTATAATCGAGTATGGGCACAGCCTTAAATGAACATTTCCACTAATGCACTCTTAGAACCTTGGGCAACTATTAGTTATGAACACGCTGGCATTGCATAAACAGAACTCTCTCTTGTTCTAGCTGCCCTCTGGACATCCTGTGCTTTGCTGTGCTTCCATGTTTTCTTTAGTGAGGAAGTCAGGCTAGACTCAATGAGGAATGGATGGATGCATGTACACAGTTTAAAGAGAAAGCCAAGCAGGGGAAAGGGGAAACCCTCGCTTCAGGGCAAAGTGCCTTAAACAATGACAGTGTGGTCTCCAAAAACACAAAACTACCTCCTGGAAATACAGTACAGCCAGATAGTGTTTCCACTAAGCCACTGTGAGAGCCAACAACTTCTTCTAGGTCAACATGGTTAATAAACAACCACAGTGACAACAAGGGCTTTTCTCCCCTATGCCTCATGGGAATGCTGATGAGTTTTGTTGCGTTGACACAATGCTATTAAGTTTCAGTGGATCCCAATTGAATTCGGCCAAATGTGCCCCCTGGAATGTGCCGCTTATAAATTCCTATTTGTCAGCTGTATATAAGATGTCAATGCACACTGTAGAGTAAATAGAAAGCCTATACCGCACTAAAGTATGTTGTTTCAGAGGGCTGACGGACTAAGATGGAGAGGGAACAGGTGGACGTGGCATTGTGTGGCTCTTCCACTCAAAGAAATACATCGCTAAAGATTACGGCATGTGCTACACTGGGATTTGAAAAATGTACACCTTCTCACCGTATCGCTATTTTAGGGAGTAAAGAACAGGATTCTTGAGTGGTATTTTACAAAACACATTAAGAACAATAAAAGTAACATGTTTTGTGTAACCCAGAGTGGTAATGCTTCGTGCAGTGAAGCGATTTTAAGCCAGCACTTTATAAATAGATGAGTAATCCCTCTACTGTTACCGTATTGGTGGGCTAATCACTGCTTTGGTTACTAAAACCGTCACACTGATAGAAACGCTCACACCTCCAGCTCTGGTACAACATGTCCACTACACCTGTCAACAACACCAAAACAGAATGAGAGAGAAAGAGAGTGCAGATTTGCAATCCAAACAATATTCAAAGCGGTTCAAACCAGGTTTAAGCCTTGAACTTGTATTCTCCAAAGCAGAAACAAGTGCCTGCAGATTGCTTCCCTTTCAGGTGTTGTAAAGCCTACGTTTTAACTGGCTACAACAATGTGAAGAGAGTAGAGCTAAAAACATAAATAGACCGTTATTGACAACACCCTACTAATACAATAGAGAAAGCAGAACACAATATAACACACGGGCCAGGGGATAGGGAAATAGAGGAAATGACAAGCTATAGGAGGAGGTGATGAACTCAATCTAAAGGCCTCAGTCCAAAGAGGTTGCAGCATAAGAAACACAGACACTGCGTTAAAGTCACCGAGCAGATTATGACCACAAAGGGACGTCTTGTAAACACTTGTTTGCGAGTACATTAACAGGGTAATAAAGAGGGAACTACCCCGACTCAAACTTTGCCATTTAGTTGAACTAACTGGGATTCTCCAGCTACGCTCTGAAACTGCAGACGAGGCCCTCCACCTCCGCCCCTCTCTGTCCCCGGACCTCATCACATGCTCTCCCATTCTCTGTCTGTGTTCCCACAAACATGACACAAAACCCGAGGCCCTATTGTTTACGGTCCACAGAGGACGTTCGGCTCTTTCCTGGATGGGCTGAATCCGGTATGTGCAGCCTGTCTGCCAGGTCTCCGTTTGTCCCACAGTGAGTCACTGCAGGGGGGCCAACATGGCAACCAGGGCCTCTGGGATTGCACTGCCACGGCTTTGTATATACGAGTAATTTGCAGGCTGGTTAGCAGACTTTCAACACATAACTTAATCAAACACATCGGAACAACAAGAGGAACACTGGCTCTGCAGCTGCTTGATTTGGTATATATAGAATACTGGGCATTCTACAGGAAGATATGCGTGAAGTTGTATCTTTTATTACAGGGACAGTGTTGAGTGTAACACCTTAATCGACTAACTGCATTTGAGTTCAGCCTCAGGACAATTCATCCATTGTATGTGACCAGGTTTTGCCCTCCCTCACAAGATCATGTGGCTCAGTATCTTTCCTTTTCCAGAAGCAGCCTCAGCATTTTCCCTCTTGCAGCGGGCTAGCAAACAGGTCTCTGTCTTTAGATTTCTCTCTCAGGAATGTTGGAAACTGGCATTGGAAATGGATAGCTTTGGAATGTTCATTTCCACGTCCCATACCATGTTAGCATTTTGTTGACCTAGGCCGAGCACGTTGTTATTTTAAAAAATCAAGATAGTTTTCAAACCAAGAATGAATGTTGCCGAGATTTATCTACGGGTGTCACAATACCAGAAATAAAGCAGTCCAAATGAAATTCCATGATTTTCAGTACCCAACCTGCAAAAACAACAACACAATACTTTATTACCGTTTGAATGTGGTTTTGGACAGGATGTTAAACGGGTCATAATTCACTGAAATATGTATTTGATATTGCTGTGAAACACCACATTAAAATAACTGTAAACTAGTATTAACTTGAATTATTTGCCAAAAAATGAATTTTACATTTCAGCACGTCATAATAATGTTGTAAATGACCAAAGCCGTATACAACATTTTACTTAGAAAATAATAATAGAGCATGAACGAATCATGAGATGTATCGGATATTGTGCCATTCCAAGCGTTGACCACTGTACAACAATCATTTGGGCCTGGAAATAAAAGGAACCCAAACAGTGAGCCTTGTTCTGTACACAGAGCTGTTGGTAACTTTCGCCTGGATCCAACAAATCCAGATTACACAACGTCTTTCACTGTTTTAAATGAATGTATTTAAAAAGGTCAAGCTTGGGGGGAAATGTTCTACTTGAACGCCACCAAATGGAAAGAGACTACAAATGATTCAGTTATCTTACTTTATCTACTACATGTAGTTTGTTCTAAAAGCATGGACATCAGAAAATGAGCCTATGACACAAATGTTCCGCAAGATCATCACAAAGTCACCTCTATCTAGTCCACTCATCTAGCATCAGGCCCCTGTGGAAAAATAACTGTTCTACTTTAGGTGTTGCTATGTAATGTATCTGCCTTGCAGGTGTAACTTTTTCAAAGCCAAGCACAAAGTGTGTCTCCGAGACAAGTTGGTTTCTCTCCCTGCCTGTTTGGCTCGGCCAGATGCAAAGGTGGTGGTGTTGCAAGCAGATTTGGAACAACAATTGAGAGGGCCTCTGTGCACACATGGACGTAGATGGTGTATCTCCCTGACAACACAGGGCAAACGCATCCATGCACCAGGCGGACCACTGGCCCCTGGAGATCCGTCACCTTGGAGACCAGCATTTGTTCAATGAAGAAGCCAGGGGGAAAAGGAAGTAGAAACCTCCCCAGTGATGCTTGACTGGCGTTGAAATGAAAACTTAGCCTCCCTAGATAAGGACACTTTATCTGCTTGAAGATATCTAAACATCTGCACTATATCATCACAGACTCTGATATCATCTGGCAATGTCTGTTATCATGTAATTTATTTTCTTTATAAGCACTGGGCCAAAAGAGTACTCAACACTAGCATGTATGCTTATCTACAACACAAGACAGAAGACAGGGATGCCGTTACTTAGGATTACAAGCCCCATTAATATGTCATGGTGGAGACAGTGAAATGACAGAGATGTCTGCACACCCCTCCTACACGACTTCACAAGATCAATGCCAGGAAGAACCAAAACACTAGCCTTTAGCTCAAAGGGGAACACATGCTGATCCTCGATGGGTGTTTTAAACACGGCTCTTCCTGAGGCCCGCCGTAACGAACCTGGTTTGTGATAGCAGATCTAAAAATACACTACGGTGCAACCTGATGATGCACATAAAAAGAATCACACTGTACTTGAAAGCACAGATAGCACATTTTGTACCCTTGCCAGCAACCCAATTTCCCTGTCTAACAAAGCATGAGGTGACAGAGTCCAACTAAACATACATGTGTGCTCGATCTGTACATGTCCTTGAGCCCTGCGACATGTTCCTGTGCTCAAAAGAGTCTTCAGACTGCTGAGCTGCCGCAAATGTCACACAGTGTTCAAAAATTACCTGCTGTGACAATACATATCCAGCATCCTGTAACCCCTGGCTACCAGACCATATTGCAGTGGCTAGGTGTTAAAGTAAAGATGAATGGCCAGGGGTGGTAGCAAAGTTATTTAAACAGAAACAGAAAAAGCAATCATGCATTAAGCACACTGAAGTTGATGAGAAAACAAACATTTTGTTTTTGTTGACCACAAAGTTTAAATAAATCAAACAAAAGGTGAAGTGACACCGATATGTGTCGATATAGATTTGAGGGTAAACATTTGCGTAACACAGTTGGAAAAAATGCAGTCTGTGTATGGTGTCGCAGCAAAAATATGTGCCGTTAGTCCAGAAACACGGATGGGCTGTTTTGGACAAAGTAGCCACATAAAGTACATTTCTGTGCTTCAAGTTGTTGAAGCTTTCCTCAGTTAAGATACACGGATACTGATATGTCTGCTATATAATATCAGCCCATCCGATATATCTGACACGCTGTAATCTGAAAGCACTGGAAGTTTACGCCTACAAATCAATAAACCATTGCCTGCGTCTGCTAAAAGAGCTGAAGCAACCATACTAAGATCTTACAAAATATGAATATAAATAGACAGGCAGTTCACTGTTCTCGAGGCGTCCTCTACTCTCTTTCAGCTGTGCTCCTTTTTAGTGTTCCCATTTGGGTTTTAAAATCCCAGAAGTTAATGTGCCATCTTAATTAAAACACTGTTAGACTGAGCACAGGCTAATATTTAACAATGGGAGCCTGAAATGTAGCCTAATTAGTAGGGCTGTGCAATTAATCGTATTTTAATCGCAATTACGATTTTTTACGATCATATTTATATTTAGTAGCTTGTGGAAGCGCATATTTGTTGATCTTGTTTATTGGTATTTATTATTTTGATATGAATTATTTAAATGTAAACAAATGTATCATTTATTTTAGTATTGTTTTTTCAGTTGAATTATACGTTCAGGGTAATCAACAGTTACAAATATAATGTTCAAATTATTATTTGTTTTAAAGTTCAATAAATGGATGTTTTCAAAGTCAATGAATAATCGTATTTAATAATCGTGATTTCAATTATTGACCAAAATAATCGTGATTATGATTTTTGCCATAATCGAGCAGCCCTACTAATTAGGTTGAGATGTTCCACTGAAACAAGATGTGTGTATCATGCATGCTTCAGTGTTTGTCTAACAGTGCCTGTCTGTGGGCTTCACCAACAGGAATGTGAAATGAGTAAGTTCAAGTGTGTGTGTGTGTGTGTGTGTGTGTGTGTGTGTGTGTGTGTGTGTGTGTGTGTGTGTGTGTGTGTGTGTGTGTGTGTGTGTGTGTGTGTGTGTGCGTGTGTGTTTGAGAGCGCAAGAGAGAGTGTAGCAGTGTGGGCAGGGCAAACTCCTGGAGATTCCAGACATGGCTGCATTTCCTCGGATGTCACGTGTTTCAGTCTACACAGAACTATGTCGACTAAATTATAAAGAGCACACCTAGCTTTGCATTTTCCACCAAACTTTTCATATTTAAGCAAAGCCATTATGGAAAGTAAATTAGGACAAAGTCTCTAAAACGCCCAAATATCCCTTTCATTGGATAAAAACCTGAGAAAAATGACGTTAAGCCGTGAAATCAAAAGATGTTCTCTTGTTTAGGTTCCCGGAGCCTTAATATAATACGTTTTTGTCGTTGGAATATGCTCTTACACAATAGCAATGGAAGATAAACATGAAAAGATTGAATTTGTTGGCGATTCCACTTTTTGTTTTTTAGTACATGCCTGTAGATTTGAATGGCAAAACTGGAATATAAGATTTATAAGGGTCAGATTGATGCACCTCGATAAAACACATGTTGGCACAATAATGCAAATAGAATGAACACAAACAGTATTGTGAATTGCTTCAATTCCGCACGTTAAAATAACTGACCTTTTACTCTAAACAATGTCCCAGCTATCAACACTTACTGAATCACTCATCAGACTGGGCAGCGCTGTTGTAAGCATGTCAAACGACTTCAAAACAAAGACGTAAACACAAGAAACAGCTAAATAAAGGGTTAAGTGCTGAGGCCAAAACATATTCCCAAGAAATCAGGGCATTCTCACTGCACTGGAGACGAAAATATGTGCTTGGGGGTCTACTAACAGTCCTGCTGACGTGCACACACACACACTGCTTTCTACTTTTCCACAGACCTGTTACTGCTTCGTTTGTTATTCCTCGCCGGGACGAACATGACACGCGTGTACGCTGCTTTGTTGTCTCCAAAGAACCCTGCTGTGCTTTGTATTGATCATTCTCTTTTATTCTCTTAGTCATCCACACAAACATTCACCCATCAGCACCTCTATTAGAAGACTACAACTGGCACAACACACACATTCAACCTGTGTGGTATTGTGTTTGCTCAATAAACAATTAACCAGCCATGACAGCGTAATATTTTGGGACACATAAAGGTTTTTCGAATCTGTAAATATGATTTTTGTATTCAAAGAAAGCACTATAACAATATTTAACAGACGTCATACTTACATCATTAATAACTTAAGGTATCTTAGTACTTTTCGTGGAATGTGGAAGAGACTGAAAACTCATCTCTTTCGACTCCACTTCGAGCGATAGAATTACTAACAAAGAACTGCTAACAGAGCACTTATATACTAATAAGGGCTGGCTTATCTAAAGCCAGTTGAGTAGCACTTGAAATGTTTGTCTCTATGAAACCTGATGTACTTATATGATTCTGTTTTTTTCAAGGTTGTATCTTCCTGGTCGAATGTACTTATTGTAAGTCGCTTTGGATAAAAGCGTCAGCTAAATGCAATGTAATGTAATCACAAAGCTCTTTTAAAGATCTCCTGTATGCAGCGTGTAATTTGTCAGTGGATTCTTTAAATAAAATATTATGACTAAAAAAACCTTGTAATTAAAAAGAGTACCGGTGGATTTATCTGTGGACTGTTAGACTGTAGATCACACTCATCATTGAGCCTTACAGATGAAGACACACCTTCCATGAGAATCCAGCATATTTAGCAAAAAGACAAATCGTGCTCAAATCCGACATGGCAGTTTCCAGGGCGTAAGACAATGAATGGTTCTTCTTAGGGATTCTGACCAGACAAAATCAATAGTGGGATCAATAAGGAGGAGAAGCAGACAACACAGCGGTTAAGATAAGTTGTTAAAGATTATTCAGTCAATGTTAGCTATAGTGTTGTGTTGAGGAAACTTTAAATCACTATGCTCTGCAATAGTGCTATGTTATTGACTGGTTCACATGAGTATATTTGTTCAGTTAGCATGTGTAATGTTTTTACAAGCAGACACTGTAGTGTAGTTGTCTCAGTTGTATTATTTTTCATATGCAGCATTTATAATATAAATTATTAAATTAAAAGCAATACAGCATAGTCAAATATATTACTGCTATTCAGAAAAGTGGAGAAAAGATATTGCCCAATTGGCACCAAATGTTCGCACTCTGAAGCCCTGTAGATGACAGATAGTGAGCAAAGTAAGGAGAAGCGGTGCAAAGACGGCCATCGTAGTAGTAAACATGGCTGCCATAAGTGTACTACTGTACTGCTTTATCATCACCCTTGAGCTCCTGGGCTTAACATTCCTTCACGGGTTGGTGCCATTTCTTGAAAGATTGCAGAGAAACAAAATACTTTACATTACTTATCATAAACTCTATCAGTCAGAGACAGCTTCTGAGAGTGTTTGAGAGGGAGACATAAGAGGAGGAAACAAAGAAGAAACACTGCTGTACTGGTAGGGGGAGACCTGGGTAAACAACTATAAGCTGATTTTCCTCAGACCTCCTGTTTTAATGCCTGAATTCAAGTTTCTTTCTACAAAACAATAACTAGAGGAGATGGTCTTTCAAAAACAGGGCATTCCGTGGTTGGCTCACTTGATTATTCGCGCTTCCTGCTCCCAACAAAAAGGAATCAACAAGAGAAACACAGGCGTCAACAAAACCTAGATGCCGTCTGAGTGCCGAGTTGCCCTCAAGAAAAAACATATATAAGGGCTTTATGTGCTAGCTCAAGCAGCCACCTGTTTCAAAACACATGTAAGACAGAGCTGCTCTGTTGTGGTCGCTGTTGTTTAGAGGACGTATTGTTCATACTGCTGGATATTTTTAAAAGAATGTTTGCAAAGTGGTAAAAAAACAGCTTCTTCCTATAAATGTATCCTGGATGGAGGTAAGACAGCTGAAGGCGAGGGAGGGCGGCCCATCTAAAGCCACAGGTTCCGGAAGTACACAGAGGCTGTAAAAGCTATCGGGTGACAGGTGATAGATAGAGACCTTCAATGACTGCGTGTGGCCTGCAGATAAAGGGCAGCATTTGTTTGTGGTTGGTTTTTATGCCAACGCGGTTGACCTATCGCCCCACAGGGACATCAGCACCCGCACAGATTAGCCTCAAAAGGACCATTTGTATGGCTGAGAGTGTAGCTCCTGTATGATGAAAAGGTTCAGATACAGCATCCCATCTCAAAGAAATGTCACTGCCAAATGTAACTGCTCCTAACTTCACATGGTCATCTACAACCTCTCTTTGAGTCACTGGCCTAGATATAACCTGTTCAAAATATGCAAAAGCAACCGACAGTTTACTCAAACGGCATAAACATCTGGCACAAGATGACCTCAAACTGTACCGCTAACAGGATGGGAAATAAGCAACCTTGTACTAGGCAATTACAACTGGCTGACAACATTGTCTGCATTTACCAAGCATTATCAACAAGTAGAAAATCAGTACTGTTAAGCTTTTCATTCTCGGGACAGAACCTGTGCAGTACTTTGTGGTACAAAGAAGGGTAGGACTTTTGTATGTGGTTTTCACTTAAAAAACATGTATGCTTGTCCTCATTAATTTAACAATTGCTCCGAAAGTCAGACAATCCGTCTACATCATACAAGAAGCAAAACTGATCGATAACCATTGGAGAA